TGACTCTAGAACTTGCGTTTGTATTCCACAGAAAGCACTTTGGGAAACAACTACATAAACAAACCACTTGATATTGCTTATACTCCAAAATAAAATGATGAAAATTTAACTATAAAAAGAAGAATTCCTTGCAATAGGATTCATTACCTAATCAATAAAGTCACCTGCTTTTTACATTTCTGGAAAGTACACCAAAGAGGCTTTCTAAGATTTATTATATTACTATTAATTATACTTACTACTTTTTCTCTTGGGGATACCAGCTTACTCTGATATAGAAAAGATGGGAAATGGAAGTATTGTTAGTTCCAACACAACTTAGCCTCTCTCTATATGGCGTAGTGCCTAAGGTATTTGACGGCTAACCAGAAGGTTGGCAGTTCAAATGCACCAGCCATTCCACAGAAGGAAGATTGGGCAATCTACTTCTGTAAAGATTTACAGCCTCAGAAACCCAATGGGGAGTCACTAAGAGTCAGAATCAACTCAATGGCAATAAGGATTTTGTTTGTTTGTTTATATATATATAAGATGTTTTAATCTTATTGCTTTAAATATTTTCCCATCAAATCCTTGGGACTGCTAAGAAGCTCATTCATTTTATGGCAAATTTACCATATAACCTAACAGGCTCCTTATCATACCCATCAGCCCAATGTGTCTTAATTTCTATTAGAAAGAGATATGATTTATTTTCTAATTCATGGAAATGATCATATGCATTCCTGGGGCATATTTATTTCTGAGTCATAACTCACAGACAGAGCCTGCCTTTAATTTGAGGCTTGAATGAAATAAGGTGTCACCATTTTTGATTATGGACCCTCTTTGCTTTGCCCCAGGGGACATTCCCACAGGGAAGAATTATTCAAGACTGAAGAGGTGTGGGTGTCAAATGAAAAGGTACTTCAAGCCACTGCCCCACTCCACAGAGAAAGTCCCCTGACAGGCCAACCTCGCTTGTGCTACCACATTTCACTGGAAACTTAACACACTTACATGCAGGATGCCATGAAACCCGGAGGTCCACAGTGGCTCATGCTGCCCCAACATCACTGTTTCTAACTGTCCCTCGGTCGGGTGCCCGAATGTTTTTCCAGCCCAGAACAAGTACCACAAGAAAATTAAGGATGGGTTAAACTGAGGCATGCATTTCTTTCAGTAAAGTAAGGAAAAGGCAATTTGAACAGGGAGGTGGGGAACGGACAAGGCTCAGACACATCTCCTCCCACAGGTACATTCTGAAGCAGATCAATTTTGTTGTTGTTGTTATGTGCTGTTGAGTCGGACCTGACTCATAGTGACCCCTCCTTGGGTTGCCGAGGCAGTATCACTATGGAAGTAGATTGCCCAACCTTCCTTCTGAGGAGTGGCTGGTGGGTTTGAACTGCCAGCCTTCTGGTTAGCAGTCAAGTGCCTTAGCCACTATGCTACCAGAGCTCCTAGATCAATTTTAGAAAGTGCAAATCTGCAAAGAAATTCCCTTAAACGATCTGTGCCCAGATAGCCCTTAAAAAGTCTTCTTGTACCCCTGGGGAACACACATGCCAGTCCGAGGAAGTATTTTCCTCACTATTCTTGAGAAACCATTATTTTACTTTAAGAAAGACTTTAAAAAAAAAAAAAGAAAAGAAACATCTCTAAGCTTTATTTTTAGATAATTTATTGTTAAATGCAGAAGTCATAGAGCAAAGTAGGGTGGGATAGATGTCAAAGAATATTTTAAACAACAGACTTTGTCAGGTACTATTCTGGATTTCCTAAGAGTTAGAAATAGAAAGTATATCAAATGAAAATAGCCTCAGTCCAATGAAGTTTTTTAAAAAGGTCTGTGATTTGGAAAGAAAATAACTTTTCTCTTAAAATACAAATCATCCTTATTACAGGAAAAACATAATTTAAAAGACTGAGAAGAAAGCTTTAATTAAAACCATCAATCTCCCAGATACACTCAGGAATGTTTATTTTTAACCAGTGAATTTAAAAAGTAACTGCTTCTACCTTGAAAACTAGCGTGAATACCCTATAGGTTTACACCCCTTCGTCCACGTTTGCACTACAATGTTCCTTCATGGCTTCCTTTCCTGCAACTTTCAGCAAAGCAGATTTAGAGGAAATAAAAAGATCAGAAAGAACTATAGCTGATTCCCTAATGAATAACTTAAAACCTGCTTATCCATTCTCATTACACGTTCACAATCACTCACTTCCACTTACTTCACTGACCCATTTCAGATTCTCTCCACTAGAATTATTTGCCTGAACTTAACACAACCTCCTTAAACCAACAAGTATCACAAGGACATCTTAAAATGTTGGGATGTTAAAAGGAATACTCTTCCACACTTCTCCCTCCTGCCATTAAAAAAAAAAAAAAGTTGCCATTGAGTCTGACTCATGGTGACCCCATGAATGTCAGAGTAGAGCTGTGCTCCACAGGGTTTTCGATGGCTGATTTTTTGGAAGTAGATCACCAGGCCTTTCTTCCAAGGAACTTCTAGGTGGATTCGAACTGCCAACCTTTTGGTTAGCTGCAGAGCACTTAACCTTCTGCACCCCCTTGGGACTCCTGTCATGCTGCCCACAGTATCTTTCTAAACTCATTCAAGTGTCTCTTCATTTGGTCAAAGCAAAGCCTTCAGGATTCTTTGAACACAATTTAAAAATTGCATTTACCACTTAAATGACAAGTTTATGAAACCAGATAGAATTTTTTTTTAATCAATAAAAGCTGTGTCATTTGCTGTTCCAAACGCAGGAAACGTTCACTGCTCTATATGCTGCTAGAGGAGACTATGGAGTCCCAAAGGGCCCTCCTGGCTTCACCCTGGCAAACTCAGGGCCCTTACGCCATCTTCAGGCTCCTGACCAATGGGATGTGCCCAATCGGTCAGGAGCACAACAGACTAAACACTGTTAAGTCTGAAGAGGACACCAGACAGTTTGGTTCTCTCGGCCTCCAATGAATTTAAATGAGGGTGATTATCATCACACCTGCTTGGATTGTATCAAAAATTCCTGCTGTGGCTCCGGGGTGACCAAAGAGCTATCAGTTATGCTTTCAGGACAGATGGGAGCCATCCACAGGGACCTGGTGTCACAGCGGGAGTCTGAGCTTAGCGGGAGTCTGAGTGCCCAGCAATCCTCGAGCACTTGACATTATTTAGATGTGTTGTTGTTAGGTGCTGTCGAGTGAGCTCCGACACATAGCAACCCCAAGGACAACAGAACGAAACATGATCGTTGCTATGTTAGAGCCCATTGTTACAGCCGCTCTGTCAATTCAGATGTAGCCAGTGGAAATAGCCACAGTTTATTTGTTCTAATACTTGGAAGAAAAAAGCCACCTACCACTTTCTTTCCTCAAAAGCCACAGGGATTGGCAGGAGAAAGAAGGGATGGGGTAGGGTGGGATGGTCTTGTGAGGCAGCTCATGAGAGGAGCTGACGGAACCCTCTTGGGCCAGTGGCTGTCCCTGCTTCCACAGCTATTTCAGGTGAGTCCATAAAGCTTCTTTGGCAATATCTTCAGTTAGCACCCAACTCCATGATTGTCACTTACACTAAAATAAAAATTTAAGAGACATTTATGCTGTCACTACAGCATCCAGGTTTTGGAGTTCGAATTACAACATCATCTCCTATTCTCAATTTAACTTTGCTTGGTCCGAGCAGTGATTTCTTTGCTTTTTGGATGAGACCCAAGGCACCAGTAGGCTCTCTCCACAATTTCGACACAACCAAAGTCCTTTCAGTGAGTGGATCCAGTGTCCCCAGAGAGGGACACCTATGGCGATGAACCAGATCACCAGAAACATCTACAGCCACCTCCTCCCAGTGGCACTGAGTATCTTGTGTGGCCGTGGGTTCCCATCGTGAATCAAATGAAATCCCCCTCATAGAGTTCCAAAAGTGTCTTTCCAAAACATTCTTTCAAAATGCCATTTTCTCTCAGAAGGGCCCTCTGCTACCTTTTTCCTCATGAAGAAACAGAAAAAGGATTTGGAAACCCTAAAATACACATTGGGAGAGTTACACACACCTGCAGAGAGAATCATCCAGATGCCAAGGAGGTAAGGCACTTCGCCAGAGAACCCAAGTCCCTGCTCCAGAACTCGGCCGCCTATTAATCTGACATTCCCTAAGCAGGCAAAACCCAAGTGAACTTTTTTTTTTTAAGCATCTTATTTTGCAGTTTAAGGAACTCTGGTGGTGCTGTGGTTAAGGCATTGGGTTGTCAACCACAAAGTTGCCAGTTCAAACCCACCAGCTGCTCCACAGGAAAGAGATGAGGCAGTCTGCTTCCGTGAAGATTTATAGCCTTGGAAACCCTATGGGGGTCTCTAAGAGTTGGAATCAACTTGATGGCAGTGGGGGTTTCTTGATGTCATGAAAATTATTTAGAGAATTTCAAGAGTTTTGGTTGACATGCAATGCAAAGGAGATGGAAATGAAAAATGGACTGGAACCCAACTCTCCTCAGATTGAACCCATGTGGGTGTTGTGGCTGAATCAGCACCACTTGCATAGCAGTGAAGACTCCCGTGGCTGAAATTTCTTAAAACTCAGTTTTCCTATCATCCCAGAGACTTCGTCCACGCCCTCCTTCCGACAAACTGACCAACGGAGGAAGAGTGATCAATTCTGCTGTCAGTTCAGATGGGCGCCATCCACAGGGAGCCCTGTTTCAAATTTTTGCCATTTTCCTTTTGTTCTCGTTTCCTTTTATTTGCTCACCAAATTGAGACTTAGGGGAAATTACACAGCAGCAAACCAGAAAATATATTCCTCTTAAGAACAATTACAAAAAGTTAAAAAAACAAATTTCTTCAGTAATGGTAAGATGCAAGAGTGTCTGGTTGCTTCCCTAGGCTGGGCTTAGCGGTATCTCTAGGTGTGGGGCCAGAACGACACATAGGGTGGTAGTTCCCAACTTGACCAGGGTAGTCTGGGGACCAGGACAGCAGAAGGACTGGGCCAACCCAGCCCAGCCTGCTTGAGTCAGCATTCATCGGAGAGGCAATCGCTGCCCAGGAACTCAGTGGCTTCAAGCTCCACGCTGGACAGAAACCTCCTCATTGTCTTCCGACAGTTGTAATCCAGGGTGGTGGTGTAGATGGTCTTGGGGTACTTGGGGTAAACGATGGTGGTGCTGAGGAAGCGTGTGGGCCTGTGGCGGGGCTCAAAGCGCACCTCAGCCCTGTAGTTGCGCCACGTGCAATTGGGGACGCAGGTGACCGTCTGGCTGCAGGAGGCCACCGCCAGGCCCAGTGGCATGTGAATGTCATTGATGAAGTGCCTCTCTGAGTCGTACTTGACTGAGGAAGTGTACCTGCACCAGAGACATAAGGCAGCGTGAAGTCACTCCTTTGAGCTGAGGGCACAGGGGTCCCTTACCTTGAACCTTCTTGAGGAATACGAAGGCTGAGATGTGGCTACTCCAGTAAGAAGCAGCAAGTTTGTGGAGCACTTACCGTGTGCTCAGTGCTACCCTAAGCATTTTATTTATGAGATCTAATTTAATTTTCTGAAGAACCCTGGGAGAGGAAACCAAGGTTAAGTTCACAGTGCTAGTCAGTAGAGCAGGGCTTTGAATGCAGGTTTGTAGGATTCCAGAGTTTAGCCCTGCACTCACTGTTTCTCACTGCAGGCATGACCTCTGGGTTCTACTCCCATTTACTTGAACTATGAGACCTTGACTAAGTTACTTTTCTAAGCCTCAGTATCCTCTTTCTGTACCAGGTGTCCCATAATAACCCCATAAGCACAGTACTAACACCCAGCAAATCATGTCAGTGGTAAGTATTGTACATGATGGGGTAGACTACTGCTTCACTACTGGGGACCACTTTTTCTGTCCCCTCAAGGGGTCAGTCAGCTCTTCAGTGAGAGGACGAAGGCACTAGGAACCCAAATGCTGACTCTGAAAGCATAGCTCTACCACGTACCAGTATTTGGTCCACTTTGGTCTATGGTTTGGAAACCCCTCAAACCTAGGGATTCAGCCAATTACAATCTTGATTTCCATAAAACAAATTAACATCCACCTTTCTCAGCAGCTACCTTCTTTTTTAAAATCTTTATCTGGCAATTTGAAGAGCTCCTGGGTAGGGCGGATGGTTAGGCTCTCAGCTGCTAACCAAAAGGTTGGCAGTTTGAATCCACCCAGAGGCAGGTACATTGGAAGAAAGGCTTGGCAATCTGCTTCTAAAAGGTCACAGCCATTGAAAACCCCCCGGAGCACAGAACTACTGTGATACACATGCAGTTGCCATGAATTGGAAGTGACTCGATAGCAACTGGTTTTTCTTTTTTTTCAATATGGAAACAAAGTATTAATGCATTTTACTACATTATTATTGCAGCTTCACAGATATTTAAATATGTATGAGTGTCACCTAACAGCACTGCCCTCACTGGCCCCTAACCCCTGGACAGGTAAAAACTGTCACTATTTTCTGAGGCGTATGCAACCTTCTATTCTCTTTGGGCAAACAGGTAAGAGGCTGACTGAAGTTAATGTCATGAAGTCATGTCCCCATTTTGTTCAAAACACAAACTCCCTAGGAATAAAAGGCTAAACTGCTCTTCTCCAAACTGGTGACCGTCTCTTTGTTCCACGTCAAAGGGCCCTTTGTGCAGCTGCAACTGAAACTCCAGCTCTAAAACCACCAGTTACGAAAAGCGGAATTCCTTTCTCTGCAGAGGGCCTGTCTTTAAATAAGCCTGTCTGGGAATCTCTGCCCCCAGCTGACACATGGAGTCTCCGAGAGTCCCAACCAACTGGACAGCGCACAAAGACAGCAACAATTGTGGATGGGATACACTCCCCCGGGAAGAACGGCACTGGCCCAGTGAAGTCAGAACCTGAAACAAGGTCACAGCACCTTGAGGTGAGTGGGCATGTAGGTGGGGGGGCAGCTTCTGGAATTATTTTTCAACAAATGTAAAATATCTGATGGCCACGAAAACAATGTAAAGAGAAAAAAGTAAGTTCCAGAACTTTATGTATGGCATGATCTCATTTTAATTTTTTTAAAAAGCTTCTCTGTGTATTTAATTGGTTATATCCGCAAAGAAAAATCTGAAAGCATACTCACCAAGCTATTAATAGTCTTTGGCACGCTTTTGCATTAACACTCTCTCTCTCTCTCTCTCTCCCTTTTTTTTAAACAGTAAGCATTAATTTCTGGAATAAATAATGAAAATTAAAAAACAATAAAAATGAAATCAGGGTCTGCTATATTTACCTTACTTCCATTGGTGGTAAGGGGTCCAACTCCACTCCTTCACCAAAGGACAGGGGGCATAACCTGGGTGAGCAGCTGGGGGCCAAGGGGTTGGGGAGTGAGGCTGGATTCTGCAGGAACAGAGAAGAACGCAGTTAGGACCCCGGCCCCATCTCATGCATCCCCCATAGCAGATCCTGGCTCTGAGCCTCCAGCTGATAGGCCTAACTGTGATGTGTGTCCCCCTCCTGGGCGTCCATGAGAAGGGCCAGCCTACACATGGGAAGAGCACTAGACAGGGAGCCAAGAGGCCTGTGTTTGAGTCCCAGCACTATCAGGAACAAGCTGTGTCATATCATATGTCCTTAACCTATCTGCATCTCCGAGGTTTTAAGAAAGAAGAAACATCCTACCCATGATTATGACCAGCCCCAGGAATTACTGCACTATCCTACAGCAATGCTATGAGAAAATCTGGATTAACGGGGTTTAACTAATTAGAGGGGGCAGTGACGGTTCAGCAGTAGAATTCTTGCCTTCCATATAAGAGACCTGGATTCGATTCCCAGCACAGCCATCACCCGTCTGTTACTGGAGGCTTGAATATTGCTATGACGGTGAACAGGTTTCAGCAGAGCTCCCAGGCTAGGGAGGAAGAAAGGCCTGGCTACCTACTTCCAAAAATGAGCCACCCAGTGGACGACAATGGTCAGATCCCATCGTGCACGGGGTCAGCACACATTGTGGACTGACTCTGCAGCAGTGAACAACTAACCAGAACTCTTAATGACCCTGTGTAGTCATCTCAGTACTACTTTACAAAAGGCTCAGACAAAAAAATCACCACCAGGGCGTTTGTTTAGTTTTTAACTGAAGATTGAGTCCACCAAAGACTATTAGTGGTTACGGGAGGGGAAAGCTTTTGTCTGGGGGGCATTGAGTTTATGCTAATGGTTGCGGAATATTTTGGAAAAGGATAGCAATGTGGTGGTACAACATGAAAAATGTCATCGGCCGTAAATGTGGAAGTTGCTATGTTGGCAAATGTCCTGTTGTGCATGTTTTCACCACAATAAAAGTAAAAATGAAAACTAAAAAAAAAATTGAGTCCAACTCTTCTGGTCTCCATCTCTGCCTCTGGGGCTGTGGAGAGGGATCTGTAATGCTCGTGGGAGACCCTCCCCGATCAGCCACTACCCATGTTGGAGAAATTCTGCAAAACCACAGGATTTCGTCAGTAAAATGAGCACAGAAATGTTCTCTGCGATACCTTCCACTAGCCAGAAATCTCAATGCCCCTGAGCCCTATATTCCTAGAACATTAGGTGTCTTCCAGCCTAGTCAATGTATTGGGCGTTCTGGGTCACCAAGGAGCCTGACAAAGAGAGCTACATCCTAGACTCGGGGCCAGCGTTCAGCCACTGTAATTGGAATCAGGGCGCCTGTGTTAAGTGTGCAAAGACTAACTTAGTGCCGGCTTGAAGCCAGCGGTTCTTCGAATTCCAGTGTTCACTAGGGATCTGTCATTTTCTTTGCCTAATTGGAGAGAAGGACCCATATGTGGGCCAGGGTGTGGAGGGGCAGCCCCACCTCCACGACTTCCAGGACAGAGAAGGAGGGAGACATTTTTGGAAGGTTGGCTCTGACCCCCTCATCATGTTACCAGGACAAGGTGTCAAGTGGGAGTGTAGGGAGAAAACGCAAAAGCCAAAGGCAGGACAGGGAGAGAGAGGTGCTGAGGGTCTAGGTCTGAATTCAGAGTTAGCAAGTTTGAGCTGGAAGGACTGTGTTGAAGATCAAGGTCAGTGGATGGAGTAGGGGTTGCGGGGGTGGCCACTGGCTGCTGCAGAGCTTTTGGAGACAGTCCTCAAGTAGAGACAGTGGGCTCTGCTCTGCCCTCTGCTTTCTGGCTCTCAGATACTCCCCAACCTCAGGAGGCACGGCCCAGGCAAGTCTTGGGGGCTGCAGGATGACATGGCCTCCATGAGGGGGTAAGCTGCTCTTTCTCTTAACACCCACACAGGTATCTACGCAGGCACTTGGTTCTCCTGCCCCTACCTATCTGCTCCCCGATCCCTACCCACCAACAGACACTCCCTGAAGACCCACCTTGTGTCAAGTGCTGGCAGGTGTGGTGGGGCAGAATTTGACAGTTCCAAGGGTTATGACAGACATGTGAAGGAGGTGTCAATGGAGAACAGGGATGAAACCACAGACTCCAACGTGGTTTGGGGAAGCATCAAGGAAGGCTCCCCAGAGGAGGTGACAGAAGTTGGGCATTGAAGGCCAGCAGAGCTCTTTAACAGGTAGAAAAGATGACTGGGTGTTGGGAGAGGTAGGAGAGGATGGGATCAGGAGGGGAAAGGCATGGCAGGTGGACAAAGCAGCACTGGGAGGGAGGCTAGAAGGGTGGCAGGCAGGGAGGGCTCTGAAGGCCAAGCTGGGGCAAGCTTCCCCTTCAAAAGGAAATGAGGAAGTGCACTGATGCTCAAGAAGAGATGACAGGTCAGTGGGTCAAAAACGGCACATACATCAAAGCTTCAGTGTGGGTCCCTGAGAACAGTAGCTGTCGTTGACTACTTTACAGAGAGGACAGGGCTGCAGATATGTTCCCAAGAGAGAGGTGGAGGCCTAGGTTGACTGTAGACAGGATGTGGCTTCCCTTGAGATCTAGGGTAAAGGCTAAAAACACCACCACCTGAGTGATTCCTACCGCAAGATAGACTTGCTGGAGTTTTTTCTTTAAATACAATTTTTAAAAGAAAAGAGAATGTTTAATTTTTAAAAAGTCCCACCCACCTAAAGGCTTCCCACCTACTATGTGCAGGACTCTAGTTTAGGGATTCAAGACAAGGGACGGCCACCAGGAGGCTAGTGGCAGTGGCAATCCTTCTCCAAAGGTCCCCTCCAAGCCAATTCACACGGTCCCCAAAGGCTGGCCCCGTTTGCTCTCTGCATCAAGAGCCCAGAGCACACCCCTCTCTCTGGGACCAGCCAGGAGGGGGCAGGCCCTTGGAAGCGGCCAATGCCGCGGGCAAAGCCGTCGGGGTGCCAGGACTGCAGGACCGTCAGGGAAGGCTGGTGTTTCCTCTTGGTGTCCCGAGTGCCCCACCCGCCCGGAGGGCAGGAATGTGGTCAAGCCACAGCCTGGCAGCGCCGGGGGCCGCCACCCCGAAAGGAGGAGGCGGCGGCGGCTCGCCTCTCCCGGGGCTCCCGCGCCTCCGAGGCGATGACAATTTTCCAGCCACCAGCTCCAGCTGGCCGAGCTCTTGCTGCGCTCCCGCCCCGAGCTCCCGGCGATGGCCACGCCGTCCCGACAGGCGGGTGGCGGCGTCGACAGTGCGCCCCCAGAGCGACGTGTGGTCCCCCGGGGCCAGCTGTGGTGGGGGTAGAGGCGGGGAGTGGAGGGCGCGAGCTACTCACCTGGGCCGCGGGGGTCGCCACGGCGTCGGGCTCCAGAGCTCCAGGAGCTGGCGTGCGCTCCCCGCCGCCGCTGCCGCCCCCGGCCGCCGCGAGCCCCCAGTGGCTGGGGCTGGGGGGCAGCCCCGAGTCCGGGCTGTCCAGGACGCCGTCGCCCTTCTTCTTCGTGTCCACGAGCTCGGGCACATCCTGCAGGCTCAGCCGGCCCACCATGGCTGTGCGTGTGCCGGGGTTGGATACTCAGCGCGGGGCCGCGGGCCAGCGAGGGGCGCAGACGCGGGCCGGGACCGCTGCCCGCCCGGCCGCTTCCCTGCCCGGCCTCCCGCGCTTCGTCCTGGTCTCGCTGGCCGCCCGCTCCC